GGTGTGGGTGTGGGTGTGGGTGTGGGTGTGGGTGTGGGTGTGGGTGTTGGTGTGAGTGGGGATGTGGGTGTGGGTGTGGGTGTGGGTGTGGGTGGGGGTACGTGTGCGTGTGTGGGTAGAAATATAAAAACTACACCCACACCCACACCCACACCCACCCACACCCACACCCACACCCACACCCACACCCACACCCACACCCACACCCACACCCACACACCCACACCCCACACCCACACCCACACCCACACCCACACCCACACCCACACCCTCAAGATGGTGTTCTTATTTTTTCAATGGAAGCTTTAACAATGGTTAAAAGAGAAGTTACTTTTTCCTAATAAAATAAAATAAGTTAAACATAGTTTTCGCACATGACAATGAGGGTATGTGTGGGGATGTGAGGTGTGGGTTTAGGTTGAATGTGTGTGGGTGTTCCTTCCTCAATGACGATCACACCCTCAATTCTGATGCCCTTAGAGATTTTTCTTAATGATATATAAACGTCCTCAAATGAATTCAAAATAATATCTAATATCATTGACAGAATCAGACAAAGCCAAAAGTTCTCTTTTTCGTAGACAAGAGTCCAGTAAACATAAATTGTTTGTCTGTCCGCAGGGTCAAAAAAACATTTCTAGAGGTATTTCGATGCGGGGAGTTCGAATTTGATGTTATTTTTTTAAAATTTGACGAAATGGTTTTTGGGATCGAGAAACTCGAATCTGATGTTAGTTTTTTAAAATTTATGTATTGATCACTTTTTTTTTCAACAAAAGACAACTTTTTACAAAAAACATTTGGTTGTATAAAGTGTGATCGAAGGGAGTTCAGGTCGAGGAACTTAAATCTGACTTCAATTTTTTTAATTCTATAAATGAATAGCTTGATAATAGTTTAGAAACACGATTTATACGAGAAAGAGCTCAGCGAGTCGTCAGACGAGCGTTACTTGTTTGATAATAATAAAATTATTCTCTTTCTCGTAGAGAAGAGTCTAGCAGAGACAAATTGTTTGCTTGATTGTATGTCCGCAGGGTCAAAAAAACATCGAAGACTGACTTTCCGAAAAAGATATTTCTAGAGGTATTAAGAGTTGACCGAAGGGTAATCGAGAGCGGAGAGTTCGAATCTGATATTAATTTTAATAATTTACGTTAGAAATAAACTTATATACACAATAATGTATTAAGAATCTACCATCTAAAAACACTCCTTCTACGAGAAAGAGCTGAATGAGTCCTCGGACGAGCGTTACTTGTGTAATTATCGTTGGTGACAGTGTCAATAATTGTCACATATGAAATACATTCCATTTTCTGCAACATTCTACCGCAGAAACACTTTATAACTTAACGTTTAGATAAAGCAATCTGTTAATTATCAAAAGTTGTTTTTTTCTTTCTTTCATGATATAGAATGAATATGCTGAAGTCAACTTAATTTCAAAAAAAGCCATTACATATACAGAAAAAAAATATTTTCTTTTTCTTTTCTTTATTCGATGTTGATGATTTCAATTTCATAAATGCTCAAAAGAAACGAAGAGAATATTTTTTTTCTTTTCTAGCCAAATAATTTTTTCCAGATGTCTGACTAACAGTCTACAGTACTTTTTTTTTTGTAGCGATTAAATATTAAACAAGAGAGTTGGAGTAAATGAAAGAAAAGAGAAAGAGTAATGTTAGTTACTAAAAAATTTTAAAATATCAACTCATAAAAAAATGTTTTGGATATTTTTTATTTTACTGATATTTTCTATTGGTGATTGTATTCTTATCAATAAAATAGATAATTATACAATGATTGGTAATATATATAAATCATTATGGAATATAACTCAAAATCAATGTATATGTGAAATGCTAAATTCAAATGGAACAATATCAACATTAAATTATTTTTCAATAAATCAAACTTGTCAATTATTTTATACAAACTATAGTTTGATTTTAATTGAATTTAATCTTAATTCTTCTTTGATATATATGAATCAATCAGCAATATACATGGCACAGAGTAAGTATATTATAAATACTACAAAATGTTATTATATAAAAAACGTATCGATGAATAAATATTCAAACGAAGTAGACATATCCGGGAAAATTTTATAAGACTTTTTTCCTGTGCATCGTATCTTCAGTTTGATATTTACACCAACACTAATCTAGGCGAGTATTTGTTGCAGATGTTCAACTTAATGGATAAGTCAGTTACATATTACTTTCGATAGATGCAACAATCCTAAAGTACCGGAAAGAGATTCCTTTGTTATTCTATGTTCAGAAACGTAAGCCAATTGTTTAGAAGTTTTGATGCTCAGTAAGAATTTTCGGAGACGTTCTCATATGATTGCTTGACAACAATTGTTATATCATCATTTTCTACACTCCTAATTCATACAGATGTCACTTGCGACGAGGAAAATGTGTTTTCTCTTAAATGAATATATATATATCACTATGTAGGCACTCAACAAGAATTCCAATTTATTTTCTACATATAGATGATACCTTTCTATTTCTTGTTAAGCCTGTTATTAAATGAATATTTCATCAGAAGCTGATCATTCAAATAATGTTATTCTGTCCATGTAGTTCATTCCAGTCGTAATATAATAGAATTTCTTGTAAATTAAATTATGTGAGCAAAACCTTTTCTAGTTATTATCGCGTCGGGCTACACTCAGTAGTTGGCCGGGCGAGGTTGCAGAAATTTATTTGAAGCCTAACCCAATTATCGTGTCCCTTTTTTAATCTCATATTTCTAATATAGATCAGATCACAACAACATCATCATCAACCACATCAACAACATCGTCATCATCATCATCAACCACATCATCACCATCAACAACATCGTCATCATCATCATCAACCACATCAACCACATCAACAACATCATCATCATCATCAACAACATCATCATCATCAACAACATCAACAACATCAACAACATCCTCATCATCAACAACCACAACATCCTCATCCTCATCAACCACAACATCATCAACAACAATAACTACAACAATTTCAACAACAACTACTACTACAGCAACAACAACAACTACTGCTGCTACTACTACTACTACTACAACAGCAACGACAACTACTACTACTACTGCAACAACAGCAACAACAACTACTGCTACTACTACTACTACAACAACAGTAACAACTACTACTACTACTACTGCAACAACAACAACCACTAGTAAGTGATAGAGAGGATGATATGTAGGGTGTCCTAGAGTTAATCACGCAATCTTTAGCTGAACTAATTAAAATCGGAAAAACTTTTTGTTCTGAACTTTTGATCGATTTCAAACCTGAATACAATACGCTTCTAATCATTGCTATTTCAGGCTTTTGAAACTGTTCTTATTAGCTTTTGTGATATACTTATCTGTATGCCGAAAAATTCTATTGAACTAAAAGTGAGACTGACGATTTCTCCCACTCATATTTGTCTGAAATATCCTCTGTATCTGTTTGAGGATTACTTATCGTGCAAGATAACTGTGAGTGATATTAAAATTAAAATTCTCTCTTTTACTGTGACGATTCGCAGTAATTTTCGTGTGTCTTATCTAGTGTACTTCATCTATCTCCTCGTTAAACTGACTTTTTTCATCGTTTTCTAGAGTGGGTGTGGGTTTTTGAACTGATGCCAGATAGTTCCATGTCGATTAAAATTTTCGAATGATAGAATTGTCTCTTTTTGTTTCATACGCTTACGAATAGTGCACTTTAGATTTACAATCGATCATCATTGGTTTTTAGCATTGTTGTCCTTATGATATTTATCTATTAACACTTTTTTAAATTTTAGCTCCACCTTCTTGCAGTACTGCTTGTTGTGGTACTACTACTACTTGTATTCCTTGTCTTAATGACAATAATAATAATAACCTTGCTTACTGTTATCACATTGATTATAGTGGTGTTTCTTATTCTGCTGATTTTCATAATAACAATGATTGTACTGCTGCTGCTAATGCTTATGCTAGTGGTAGTAGTGGTTATGATGCTTTTTTTAATAATGGTGGTACTGATTTTTATGATTGTGATACTGGTGTTGGTACTGTTGTTGGTTAAGACTGAATATATGTTCACCGGGTTTTTCATGTACCAACAGCAACAATTAAACATAAAATTAAACAAAAACATTTATTTTATGACATTTTTTTGCGAAAATGAACTGTGTAAACAACGTTTTTTTTTCTATTCTTCTATTTTTCTATTAATTATCAAGACGTAACTTTTTTAAATATCTATCCTTCATTCGATTGTATTCTTACATTTCATTCTATATTCTCTTTCTTGTAGAGAAGAATCTTGCAACAATAAATTATTTGCTTGCTTGTGTGTTCGCAGGGTCAAAAAGAAACATTTCTTGAGGTATTTCGATGCAAGGAATCCAAATGTGCGCCTCATTTGCTCAAATTACTGAAGAGGAGAAGGAGCGGTGAATTGAGAGAAGTGACGTGAACCGAGAGAAACCGAGTTTTTAGGTAGTGCATTTGTATGGGTATCCAAATGTTTCCCTGCTAGTAGTGCAGAGTATGGCGATTATAAACTGTTGGCTTTCGTGCGTGCCGACAGCTCTAATATGTTTTGATCTGTGTTTACCACTGAGTAGGATTCGAGTATATGCTAAGAGTAAGGAGAGGAAGGTTTTGAAATTTTTTTCCAGTAAGTGTGAAGATATAATTTAAAATTTGGTAAGCCTTGACAGAAAAATTCCGTACAGTTTGATTTTACTTTTACTTGTTTTTTGCTAATTTTAAAAAATATCTACAGTACACGAGCGACATCTATCATAGAAATATGCAAGCGCTCGAAGCCATAAACCATCCGCTCGCATGCGTTTCGATTATCTCTATTATAAATAATTTGTAATGCAACCATCTTGAGGGTGTGGATGTGGTTATCTTTCTTTTGTCTCACCCGCATCTACTCCTCCGCTCCAAAGTCGGAGCGGCCCATCTTAGAAACAAATACAGTTGGATAAAAAGATGTGCATTAAATAAGTTTATATGATGTCCTTGAATTTCGAAACGTATAATTCATAATAATAAAATCTAATTTATTTTATTTTGTAATCCAGACAAAAAGAAATTTTACAAGTGCTGTTCTGTAAATATAGACCATAAATATAAAATAAAAAGAAGAAAAAGAAAAATCTATCATACACTTTTTTCATGTCACTATACAAGTTATAGAATTATTTCGTAGTATTTTCATTTTAGTGATTACAGTCCACAAGTCTAACGAACATCACTTTTCGTCTAACAAAAACTCAACAAACGAAATGAACTCAGCAACTATTTATTTTATAGATAACAAGCAGTATGATGGAGAAAACAATGAAAGCAAAAGGTAGAAAAATTTGTTTATATTGAAATACTTATTATGAATTCTTTCTTTTCAGAGAGAAAGATGAATGGGCATGTTGTTCATGCGTATCACCGCTTGTTCAAGGTCTTATCTTAGGTGTTCTTTCAGGTGGTTTGATATTAGCTATAATCATCTCACTTTGGTTGACATCAAACAGTAAGACAGAATTAATGATCGTACAAACGGGAAATTCAGGAGGTAAGCATTGAATTGATGCAAGATCTTCATTAACTGAAAACTGATTGACAAGGGAATATACCGAGGTGTTCAAGCCGTTAAGACCTCGATGAGGTACGAAAACCCAAATGAGGATTCATCTCCTCGTGTCCTTCTTTCAGAGTTGTGACCGTTTTCCTGGATTTTCGACCAGTCACAAGCTGTTTTAGAAAAACTCGAATGACGTATGTTCCACCTGAACCTTTGCCCATAAATAGATATTATCGTAGCTAAAAGCTCCTACAAGTCTCAGCTTTAACTGGTTGTTTCTTCACGACAGAATGAGTTTCAAAGACAAATCAGCTTTCGTCGATTTATTGATAAAGTACGAGAGTTTCAAAATCCAGTGATCTCAAGAAGTAAGCATCAGTTGCAGACTGAAACTTGCAGGAGCTTTTAGCTACGATAAGACCTATTTATGGGCAAAATTTCAGGTGGAACATATGTCATTCGAGGTTTTCTAAAACAGCTTGTGGCAGGTTGAAAATTCAGGAAAACGGTCATAACTCCGAAAGAAAGACACGAGGGGATGAATCCTCTTTAGGGTTTTCATACCTCATTGAGGTCTACTTATGGTCAAAAGATGAGACCTTAACGACTTGAACACCTCGGTATGTTCCCTCGTTAGATAGAGGACAAAACATCGTGAAAATAGGAAGCAAATAAAATCATGATTTTGGATCCATGTTTTCTTTTTCAACTTGTTTTCATCGGAGTATGTAATACTCTTGATAAAAGTACGTATA